GGGCTCGTCTGCTGGCCTGAGGGGAAGGGAGGGAGAAGAGGAGGAAAAACTTGGTTTCTCTGGGTCTGTGGCAGTGCTAAGCAAGGACGTGGAGGGCGAATGAGAGCCGTGCCCGGGAGGGTGGGACGGGCTGCGCTGCCGGCTGCCAGGCTCCTTGTTTCAGAAATTACAGCCATCACCCAACCTCCTCCAGCTTCTGCAGGCACCACACTGCTCCTGAGGGGAAGGGAGGGAGAAGAGGAGGAAAAACTTGGTTTCTCTGGGTCTGTGGCAGTGCTAAGCAAGGACGTGGAGGGCGAATGAGAGCCGTGCCCGGGAGGGTGGGACGGGCTGCGCTGCCGGCTGCCAGGCTCCTTGTTTCAGAAATTACAGCCATCACCCAACCTCCTCCAGCTTCTGCAGGCACCACACTGCTTCTGTCTTCTTTAGGTGGAACAGGTTGGTCTTAGGGTAGTTCCCAATGTCGGTATTAGCTAGGGAAAAGCTGCCTAGCTCCACAGCCCGGCGTGTTTAAGGAGCCAGACAATTTGTGTGCCCATCACCACTTGACTCCGTCGCCTGCTGCAGCCCGCAGGACCCACGGCACGTCCAAGGGGGACCTCAGTCAGCCCAGGGGTGAGCTCCAGATCGAGGGAGCCCACGTGCTTCACAGGAGACAGGCGGCCACGAGCTCACAGACGGCTCGAATTCTGCGTGTCCTACTTTTAGCTGTCTCAGCCTGTATTTCCAGAAGTGCCGAGCCTTCAGAGGAGGTATTTGGTAGCGCTCAGCATTTCTCTGAGTGGATCTGAGGTGCTGCCAGCCAGGCAAATGCAGAGGAAACGCACCCAAAACCGCCGAGCCCCTTGCGAAAACATGGCCAAAATGGGGAGTTTTCCCCACCACAGTCCCCTGCCTCCCTCCTCGTCTGGTGTTAAAAACCTCATTTCAGCCTAGGAAGAAGCTTGCAGCATCTACACTGGAAATTCCTCTGGAGACAGAAAAGCACTTAGCTTACCACAGCGGAAATTCTGGCGGAGACATGTAAAGTGATGCGGTTAATGTGCACGTTTACACATGCTTATTATAGGAACGAGTCCGAAACGGTCTCGAGCCACCTGCCATCGATAAACTGGTGTTCAAGGCTGGGTTTGGCACGGCTGGACCCAGGTTTCTGGCTCTAGGGGAGAAGCTTGGACGTGGGAGGGACCCTCCTGCCTGCTCTGCATGAAATCCCTGCCATCCGCCGGCATTACAGGAGCCGCCATCCCGAGGGCTCGCTGCCCTCCCACCCCTTGGGGATCTCCAGAATTACCTTTTGAGCCTGAAGCGGATGCTGTGGCTGTGCTCTAGGATGGCCATCAGGGACTTCACGTCGTACTCCATGGGTTTCTTAAAGCTGATCCCCTCGGGCAAGCCAGCCACCGCCAGCGAGCCCGGCTCTTTCAGGAGCCTCTCGTACGGCAAAGGGACCACGCTGCTCTTCCCCACGGCTTCACCTGGGGAGGGGGCAGAGTTACACACCAACAGACACCCCTGTGCCCCCAACCACGGCCAAGCCGGGCTGGAGGAGTAAATACAAGAGCAAGAGATCACAACGGAAACATTACGAGAAGAAATCCTTTTCCTACCGCTGCACTTAGCACGCAAGGCCCTCCAAGCCGTTTCTAAAAGCGCTAATTAATAAAAAGCTCACAAAAGCCAAGAAGCAGATGTCTCATCTTTCAGGTTGCACAGTAAAATCCTCAGTTGGGGTCACTTGGCACAAGCCCACCCCTTGGGAGCGCCCGGATGCGTGCCAACAAGGGACGCGGCCGCCAGCAAGCTGGGAGGGGG